TCCCCTGGCCCACGGGGGAGCCATGGGGGGAGGGGTCCCGAGCCTCCCCTGCCCACATGGGGACCACGCCTCGATCCCCCTTGTTCTCAGGGGGCGGCCCCCACGGGGGGGAGAGGCCACGACCCTCGGGACTGCCCCGGACAACCCCCCCCCCCTGGGGGGTCCCCCCCACTTCCGGCACCCTTCCCGCTCCATGCCCCCCCCCCTTTGCCAGGAAGGGGGTCAAGGGGAAGGGGCTTCTCTTCGAATCGAGTGCGGCGTTGTCTGTTTTCCGTCTGGCTGGATCGCTTGAGGAGGAGGGCCCAGGGAAAAGAGGGGGAGTGGCGACGGCGACGACGGCTCAAACGGCTCAACGTCTCACACACGCCGACAGGGATTTTTTCCAGGCTACTGCAGGACACGCCGCTGCGAACCGGGCGGCCCCCGAGCGCGTGCGGCAGTGCGTGCAGCAGCCGCGCCATGCAACCCGACCGATGTGCCGTCCAGGCACGGTTCTGACGGACTGACTGACATCAGGCCCCCCAGTCACACAGTCGGCCCATATACACTGCCAGATCAAGGGCGCCCTTGTGTCCTGTGCCTCGCGACCTCGGAAGGGTTGTGTGTCCACCCTCTCCAATCAATTCCGACTGTACAGTCGGAGAAACGTAAGACTCGAGTAATCCCGAACTCGGGTTTGCCGACGTTTTTTGACGAGCGCGTCCTGGGTTCTGACGGTTCCGTTTTCGTGGGACGATTGCAGCGGGAGCTCGCGCCAGATTTCAGATCGACCTCGTCATTTTCATGATGACCCCGTCAGGCCAACCCAGGTCCCCCGTACCCGAGTCTTATCGGGGATTTTCTGACCCGGGTCAATCCAGACCCGGGTCAGCAGGACACCAAAAAAATGCAATGCAGGAACAAAAAATTGCAACGCAGGTTTTCGCAAACCCAGGTCAGCCAATATGCGCGGCCGCCTCGCGGCCACGAGCGGCTCGCTAACCCGGGTCAGCCAGAGGGGGTCTCGCAGGATCCTGCAGGATCTGGTGCCCTGGCTGACCCCCGTTTGCATGGACCCCCGTCTCTTGAGCCCCGATCTTACTCACTAAGTCAAAACAGATGCCCAATCCCATAAACGCGAGGGCCAAGACAAAATGCAGGCTCCTCGAGACTTCTGGGAGGGAGATTTTGGGGCAGGGTTTTACCAGGGCGACGACGACGAACGCAAAACATGCCCCGAAATCTTTGGCCGATCTTCGATTCCTCGTTGAATCCGCGATTTTGGGATTGGGGATGTGTTTTTTCGTGGCCACTTACGTCTCCACGATGCAGGGAGCCTGGCCGCCATCTCCCGGTCGCTCCTTGGGACGCCCGCCGCCCCCGGCGGCGTGCGCCCGCGCGCCACAGCGGGCGAGCGGCGCCAGGGCCCGCTCGGAGCCGCCGCCGTCACGGCCGATGCGAGGCGTCGTGCGGCCCTCCACGGGAGAAGGAGGAGGAGGAGGAGAACGCCTCCTCCTCCTCCTCCTCCTCCTCCTCCTCCTCCTCCTCCTCCTCCTCCTCCTCCGCTCTGCCAGGCCCGCTCGGAGCCGCGTCGTCGCAGCCGATGCGGGCCTCAGAGGGTCTCGTGGCGGCTTGGTGGATTTCGTCGGGTTTGGTCGACGTCTGGACGAAATCTCGACGGAGTCCGGACAGGAGGGTGAAGAGGAGCTGCCCGTCGACATCTTGACGAGATCCAGGCGGAGTCACGTTTTCGACAGTGGCGTAGAGGTCCGCGGAGACTCCCGTGAAGACCCACCCAGGAGGCGGTAGACCCTTCGGCGGCGTCTTCTTTCTCGGGGCGGGCCTGGCTCGGAGGGCGTCAAGATGTTTTCAACCGGCGTCGCTGCCGCGATTCACGCCTCCTGGGCTCGCTTTCAGGCCGCCACCAGGCCATCAGCAATGGATCCAGGGCGAGAAGCTGGCCCCGGGGCAGTGGTCGGGGCCTCTGGGGCCGCGGGTGGACATGACAGGTCGGCGGACGTCAGGGTGTACCGTGTACGCCTGCACCGCTCCCGGCCATCCCGTCCGATTATTGGGCCGAGCATCGGTGCATAGGGAGGGAGACGGAGGGACCCTGAGATCCGACGTCGCAACAACATACAACAACAAAAGCACGGCCAGAGCCCACCCGTCTGCGGCACGTTCCGAGCCCGACCCCCTGAAATACGGCGACATCTGGGGGGCGCGCAACGGGGCGATCATTGTGGGGGCAGCGAGGGCTGCCGACAAGGGGCCCTGTAGGGCCCCTGGAGGGGCCTTACAGGGCCTGAAAAGGGCACCTTTCTTTCCCCCCCCTCATCTATCGCCCCCCCGCGAATTCGCGCCCAAGGCATCGCAAAGTATGAAAATGTTGCGACGCTGGGATTTCTGTGGAGGGACGACGACGGCCGAGTCGACGAGGCGCTTCTGGGCTCCCCTCGGCAAGGATGAGGCGTTCGTGAAGCTCCTCCACGACATGAACGGCTCCTTCCCGGACCGCGAGGCGCGCCCTCCCGCCGATTCTCTCGGCTTGGCATCGCTCGGACGTGTGTATTTGTTCTCGGCGAGGGCCATCGAGGAGCATCTTGGATCATCGTGCGAAAAGTAAACGCACGAAGCCGAAATATGCACGGGGAGTGGACGTCCGAGCGATGGCAAGTCGGGGAGTTGTGCAGAGAGGCGGGAGACGAGCTAAGTGCGTTCGCGCCACGTCTGACAACGTGCCCCTCACATTGCGCTGATTTCTCTCTATCCGCCAGCGGGTGTCGTAGCGGACCTGGAACACCCAAAAGGGGCCCATCGTGTCACTGGCAGCCTGAGAAGATGAGCTGTGTATCCTGGAGGAGGCGATGGCGAGTGAGCATGAGGAAGAGGAGAAGGACGAGGAAGGGGAAGGACGAGGAGGAACTGCAGCAGCATGAGCAAGAGGAGCGGGAGGAGCAAGATGACCAGGGGAAGGCGGGGAGGGGAAAGGCAGGGGGCGACAGTTGGCTCCAGAAATGTGGCCCTCCCCTGGGCGAGAGCGCTCTTCTGAACGTCGGGAGCAAAGCACCAAGCCTAAACTGTTGTCAACGTTGCAGCGGGGGCACCATTGTGGAAGGACCGAGAATGTTAGATAGAGAAAATGCTGTACGAAACAACAGCTCGTTCCAATCCTGCGTGCAAAGCCATACGCGGCGGAGGGGGGCGCGCGATTCTCGGGACGTCCTCGGGGGGGGGGGGGAGAGAGAGAGAGAGAGAGAGAGAGAGAGAAACAAAACAAAGAAAAAAAGAAAGAAAGAGAGTTGTATGCATAGTGCGTAAGTGTGGAAGTTGAGGGGGGAAGCTGCGACGCGGAAGCGGTGAGAAATGGAGAGGGGGGAGAGGTGAATGCATTGGTGAAGGGATTGGGAGTGAGAGAGATGGAGGAAACGGTACCGTGAGGTGTTCGGTCGGTTCTGTCCATGCGTTGTTGTTTCTTGTTGGTTCTCGTTTCGGCGTTGTTGTTGGTGGTGGTGTTGTTGTTATTGTTGTTGTTGCTGTTGTTGTTATGGTGGTGGTTGATTGTGGTGTTGGTGTTGTGTTGCTGCTGCTGTTGTTGTTACTGTTGTTATTGACTTCTCATGCCCAAAGAATATTGTAAGTATTGTTGATCCCCCCTGTCTGGTAACCAGTGTACTGTTCGTTAAAAGTGATGTTGTTCACGGGCCTCGCACCCTGGTTTTTTATACCAGGGAAAGTGGGGTGCCACCAAACTGGGTTGTTGGGCCCCGAACTACACAAGCAACAGCAACAACTGCTCCCGCATGATACGTCTTCACAAGTTATTCCCAAGTCGCGCTCTCGCGCGGGACGTCCTCACAATTTGTGCGGGAATCGCACTCCCGCGTGGGACCTCCTCGCAATGTATTCAGACGCCGCGCCCTCGACACTCAGGAATCACGCTCTCGCTGTGAAAATCCGGACGGTTTATTTGGGAATCCCGCTGGCGCTCGAGATATCACCGCGACTCGTGCTGGACGCACGCTTCAGCAACCCGCCTGCTCGACTTGGCCGCCTGAGCCCGCCTTCCGACCCGCCTGTTCGGGTCTACCCGCCGGATCTACCCGTCTAGTTCTGCCACGCGTTCTCTGCTCCCAGCCCCCTCCTGCTACTCTCTCTCGTGCTCCATCCTCATCCCTACCCCTTGTCCCTTCCTTCCGTCCGTTCGCTCTTCCCCTGCCTTCGGGGCTGCACGAAATACACGTTGCAGGTAACAACGACATACCCTGATGGGGGTACGATCGGAGACGAATAGGGCGAGTAACGAGGGTTTGGGATATACGTGTCGAATGGCACGCGGGCAGAACAAAGAACAGAGCGAACGGTCTTAAGAACATTGTTGCTGTTGTTACGGTTGTTGGTATTTGTGTTGCTGTGGTTGGTGCTATTATTGTTGTTGTGATTGTTGCTGTTTTTGTTGTTGCTGTTGTTGTTATTATTGGTGTTGTGTTTGTTGGTGATGGTGGTGGTTGTCGTTGTCGTTGTCGTTGTCGTTGTCGTTGCCGTTGTCGGTGTCGATGTCGTTGTCGTTGTCGTTGCTGTTACTGCTGCTGTTGAGCTCTCACTACTGAAGAATAAGTTTTGTTGAACTCCCCTCCGGTGCACATTGTACGTTATCGATTGAAGTGCCCTTCCCGGCGCTCGCACCCTGTTTTTTTATCAGCGAAAGTGTTCGTCCTCAAATTGCGTCGTTCGCCCCCGGTCTACAACAACAACGGCTCCCGCCTGAGACATTCTCACAATTTAGCCAGGACCCCCGCTCCCGCCCGAGACTTCCTCGCATTGTATTAAGAATTCGCGCTCTCGCGTGGGACGTCCTTACAATGTATTCAGGAATCGCTCTCTCGGCGCTCTGGAGTCGCGCTCTCGCTGGAGACTTGCTTGCAATTTACTCCCAGCGCCCTTGCGTTGCAATTTCCCGCAATTTACTCAAGCGCCGCGCTCCCGACACTCAGGCAGCCAGAAGTCGCGCTCACGCTTAGAACTCCCTCACAGATTATTTAGGAATCGAGATCTCGCTGCCCTTCGTGGCCCCGTTGTAGCCCTTCGTGGCCCCATCGCTTTGTTTCGTGGCCCCGTTGCAGCCCTTCGTGGCCTCCTCGCTTTGTTTCGTGGCCCCGTTGCTGCCCTTCGTGGCCCCGTCGCTGCCCTTCGTGGCCTTCTTGCTGCCCTTCGTGGCCTTCTTGCTGCCCTTCGTGGCCCCGTTGCAGCCCTTCGTGGCCCTCTCGCTGCCCTTCGTGTGCCCTTCGTGGAACCCGCTCGTTCGCGCCCGTCGTGGCCCCATGTGCATGCCCCTCGTGGCCCCGCCGTCGCCCTTTGTGGCCCCCTTGCTGTCCTACGTGGCCCAGTTGCTACCCTCAGTGGCTCCGTCTTTGCCTTCTGCGGCCCCGCATTATCTGCCCTTCGTGGCCCCCGCTCGTTCGGGCTCTTCGTGGCCCCATACGCATTCCCTTCGTGTCCCCGCTGTCGCCCTTCGTGGTCTACTTCGTGCCTTTCGTGGCCCTGCTGTCGTTCTCTCTCTCTCTCTCTCTCGCTCTCGCTTTCGCTCGTCGTCGTCGTCACCGTCGTCGTCGTCGACGTCGTCGTCGCCATCGTCGCCGTCGTCGTGGTCGGTCCCCGGTCCGTCCCTCTTGGGGCCGGGCTGCCTCCGATCAGCGCTGCCGCTGGCCAGGCCGACGGTCCGCGGCCGCCCCGCCACTTGCCGGGGCCCGGCCTGCAGGGAAGAAAGGTATACCACCCAAAAGGGGCACGATCGAAGACGAAGAGGGCGTGTATCGAGGGTTTGGGAAATACGCGTTAACGGACACTCGAGCAGATAAGAGCGAATAGTATTAAACTGATTGTTGCTGTTGTTGCTGCTGTCGTCACATTCTCAGTTTCATTTTTTGTTGTTCATCCCCCTCTGGGGCACATTCTGTTTTTCAATTGAAGTACCCTTCCTGGGGCTCACACCCTGTTTTTCATCAGGTCAAGTTTTGGGTTTCAGAATTTGGTTGTTGGGCCCCGACCTACAACAACAACTGCTCACGCCTGATACTATATATATATATATATATATATATATATATTCCCAAATCGCAATCTCGCGCTGGACGTCTTCATAATGTATGCAGGAATCGCGGTCTCGGGTGGGACTTCCTCGATGTTTTTCCAGACGCCGCGCCCTCGATACTCAGGAGTCACTCTGGCTGTGAAAATCCTGACGGTTCATTTGGAAATCGCGCTAACGCTCCAGATATCATCGCGAGTCATGCAGGACGCACGCTTCAGCAACCCGCCTGCTCGACCTGGCCGCCTGGGCCCGCCTTCCCGACCCGCCCGTTCGGGCCTATCCGCCCGATTTGTCCATCTGGTTCTGACACGTGCTGTCTGTTCGTAGCTCCCGTCCTGCTACTTTCTCTTGTGCTCCATCCTCCTCCCTCCCCCTAGTCCGTTCCTTCCATCCGTCCGTTCTTCTCCGGATTTAGGGGTTGCACGAAACACGCGATGCTGGTAAGAAAGATGTATACCCCCAAGGGGGGGCACGATCGAAGACGAAGAGGGCGGGTACCGAGGATTTGGGATATACGTGTTGAATGGCACGCGAGCGGGTAAGAACGAACAGTCTTAAACTGAGTGGTGCTGTGGTTGCTGTTGTTGCTGCTGTTGCTGTTGTTGGTGGTGCTGTTGTTGTTGTGGCTGTTGTTGTTGCTGCTGTTGGTGTTGCTGCTGTTGTTGTTGTTGAACTCTTACTTATGAAGAATTGCTTCTGAAGAATTGTTAGTGTTGATCCCCCCCGCCCTGTGGGAATGGTATTTTTTCGATTGGAGTGCCACACTTTGGGCTCGCACCTTGTTTTTTTGTCAGTGAAAGTCTTGAAGGTCAAAATGTGTTTGTGGCCCCCGGGTTACAACAACAACGGCTCCCGCGTGAGACTTCCTCACAATTTAGCCAGGACCCCTGCTCCCGCCCGAGACGTCGCATTTCATTCAGGAGTCGCGCGTTCGCTGGGGACTCCCTTACCATGTATTCAGGAATCGCTCTCTCGGCGCTCTGGAGTCGCGCTTTCGCTGGAGACTCGCTTGTAATTTACTCAAGACCAGCGCCCTTGCGTTCGAACTTCCCGCAATTTACTCAAGCGCCGCGCTCCCGACACTCAGGCACCCATGAGTCGCGCTCAAGCTTAGAACTCCCTCACAGATTATTTAGGATTCGGGATCTTGCTGCCCTTCGTGGCCCCGTTGCAGCCATTCGTGGCCCCTCTCGCTGCCCTTCGTGGCCCCGTTGCAGCCCTTCGCGGCCCCCTCGCTGCCCGTCGCGGCCCTGTTGCAGCCCTTCGTGGCCTTGTTTCGTGGCCCCGTTGCAACCTTTCGTGGCCCCCTCGCTGCCCCGTTGCGCCCCTTCGCTGCCCTTCGTGGCCTCGTGGCGGCCCTTCGTGGCGCCCTCGCTGCCCTTCGTGGCCCCGTTGCAGCCCTTCGTGGCCCCCTCGCTGCCCGTCGCGGC